CTCATTAAATAATGCCTATTGCTATGCAAATAGAACGATTAAAAGAAAAAAATATACTTTAATCATAATGCACTAACAATTTTCAGTTTTACTTAACTACAAATATAAATAAATACAAATCAGATTAATCTGAGTAATTCCTTTGTTAACCACTTCTACTGACTAACATAATTTATGTTCCGATAATTCAATTTTAAATCTGACATTCTGTCAAAATTTGAAAAATGCCTAATAATGCTATCAATTAAGTCAAGCTATTTGAACTAATACAATTGTTAGTAAAATTATCAATAGCTATAATCATTAATCATTTTCTTTTCTTTTTTTAAATATGATATAATAAAGAATACTATAAAGTATTATGACAGATTTTACAACGACATGGCCAAGTAAACTCTCACCATCTTATGCCATTGAATAATCAATAAAATGGCCAAATGGGATATATATGTAAAGCTGGCCACAATTTTTCACTAATATACTTTATCAGTATGCTTTATCGCTTACCTAACTTATCTTTTATCAGTGTATTCTATCAAAATGAATTTAACCCTGTTAAAAAAAGGAAAAAGAAATTTTTTTTTTAAAAAAAAACATATTTCTATAAATTGATTAGTGACAAAAATTTTAATATTGATTAGACAAATATCATAATAATACTTCCATTTAAAATTTTTCCAATATTGTTTCATCTTAAATTTAATTTTTCACTACAATTGATTAATTACAAAAAAAATATATGTATATATTTCCCAAATTGTACATTAAACATTACATTCTTTTCATATTGTCACATGCTTAATATTCTGCTGATGATCCGTTAAACAAAAAAAAAAAAAAAATCATTTAAGCAAGCAAAGCAAATTAAAGCAAACACTTAAATTGATGACGCAATTAGATTGCTTAAATTAATATGAATGAAGTGAGAGAAATTTAAAAATTAAAAGAAAACAAAGAAAAAAAATGATGAAAAAAAATTTTTAAAAATAAACATAAATATTAAAAAAAGAATGAAGTATTTAAATCAAGAAGTATTTCTTCATTTTAACTCTTACAAACAGGTGAGAAGGAAAAAAAGGTGTCACACGCAACATCGAAATAGGTGAAAATTAGCTGTCCACTTATTTGGGACAAATGCATTTGTGCTGTAATAGATTAATTCCCAAAAGTATTATTCTGAATTTATAAAAAAAAAAAAAAGGAAAAGAAAAATGAAAACAGAAAAAAATATCTTCATTTACTAGTTCTTGTTTATTTTTTTAATTTTCTCTTTCATTTACCTGTCTTTCAGGTATAACACTTACCTGCTAACAATACTTTGAGATTAGTTTGCTTGAATAATAAGAAAATTATTCCTTTCTTCATATCATTATGGAATAACAATCTCCTTATTATGGACAATGTCCATTTGTTGCTATTGCATTTCTCAGAAACATTTCTGATCATATATTATGAACATTAATTTTCGAATACCAGTGATTTACCTGCTTAACTTTTTTTTTGAAAGATTGTTTGTTTATCTTTCGGGAAAGAAATTGTCTGAGCATTATAATATTGGTAGTACAATTTTCAAAACTGATAAAATAATATTAATGAATAAATTGATTAAATATATTATTGATTTATTAAATATAACAATTTGATAATGTGAAGATCATGTCTAATTGGCATAATACTGGGTTAAAATGATAAATTGACGATGATAAAAGATGTCAGTGATATCTCTACAGTAAAAATTAATTCAAAATGATAGAATAATTATTATTTCTCAACTTTATTAACACATTGATATTCGTGTTTTATAATTTAAATTATGAGATGGTGCTGCTTACTAAATGTGAGATCAACACGGATGGATGGATATTTCGTTTAATCAATGGTTACTTTTGGAGTTAAAATTAATTCAAAGTGCTAAAATAACTTCAATGAATCATCATTTTCTAATCTTATCAGCATTTGGAGATCATTTTTTTATGGAATCTAATATTAATTTGTCAAAGTGAGCCTAGTCAAAAGATTAAAGTCATTTATAATGGACTTTAATCTTTTGAAGTTTTTGCTTATGATGGACTTTAATCTTTTATGATGGATAATACATTCTCATACAGAATTCTGTTTAGAGTTGATATTAACTCAAAATGGCGAAATGCTGCCAGTTTATATCGCTTCCTCTTTTGCATATCATTTCAATACACACTTATAATTGTTAAAAAAATACCATTTTTGAGATAAAAGATCAATCTGATAAGCATGATATCACTAATGGTCATTTTTGTATTAATTTGTTAATAAATTATCATTTTTGAAAAGGAAGACAAATGTATTTGTACTAAAATGATTAAATCCCAAAGTATTATTCCATTCTATAAATTTTTTTATAAAAGGAAAAAGCTGAAAAAAGTCAAAAAGACGATAAAAAAAGGTAAATGATTGTTTTTTCTTTGCTGTTTCCCTTCATCCTAATTGTTCTCGCTTACCCATTTTTTGAATGAAATACTTACCCTCTAAGAATACTTCGACAACTATCTGATGCATTACCATTCAAAAAGTAATAGCACAAACAAATTTGTATTTACTGATTAATTTACCTGAAAGGTATTTACAATTATTCCCTACTTTACATTATTATCAATAACAAACTGCTCATTATGGACAATGTCCATTTGTGAGTACTACATTTTCCGAAACATTTTTAATCAATTTTGTTAGTCGTTTTTATGAATTGATTTGTAAGAGCGACATATTTTCTTAACTATTTTTTGGAAGATTGTTCCGTTCCCTTTCGGGAAAGAAAGCGCACTATAATATTGGTTGTATAATTTTACAGCAAATTCGACTAAAAAATTTTGCAGCATATTTTCAACAAATTATTATTTAACAGACTTTTTCATTCAGCTAAATTGTCATCTCATAAACTGTTTTAATTGCAATTTGCTTTTTCTGTTGACTCATCAAAGTTTAATGTACGATTTGAATTATTTATTTGTTGCGGATTTTGAAAATAAGAGATTAAAAGTGCAAAATATACTCGATGTCTCCTAAGACAGTGCTTATTAATTAATTGGCGTTTTCGAAGGGAATTACCCAATTGCAATTTCATTAGTTACATTCTTCCTTCGTGATGTAACATAGTTTCTTTTTTTTCATAAAATCTATCATTTCTATTTCTTAAAAACATCAGACAGCTAATAAAGCTACCATCAATACTGCGTCATCAATGAACAAAATTGCTTCTTTTGAGCCCAAAAAATAAGCTAGCAAATATGTCATTAAAATTTAAGCTTTTGTTTTTTCACTTTTGAAATCTCTTGAAAATATTCGCAGTAAGCAAATTCTAAAAAAATAGTCTAATAATATTTTATCAGACAAATTTAAGTATTTTAAGAGATAGGTAAAGATGAAAGATGGACAAATAAGAGAGAAAGGAAAATGATGCTTAAACTTAAAAACAGTTACTTCTTGCTTCATTCTTCTCATTCATTTTTCAATTTGTTAAAAATGGAAAACAAAAAAAAAAAGAAATGTTTTTTCAAATATTGTAATACTTCTGGGAATTGAATCAACCATTCAGATATTTTCCATCTTTTCCTGCTTCAAATATATTTAATAATTAACTTCCAATCCTTTTTGCAAAGCATTTCTATTCCATCCATTCATTTTTTAAATAATTTTCAGAAATTCCAGCTAATTAAAAATATTGTTATATCAGCTTAATATGATTGATAACGCTGAAATATAAAGTGAACCTGCAAGGTGCAGTAGTTTTAATAAAATTTGTAACACTGAAATACTGATAACCTGAAATATGAAGTGATAACCTGCAGTAACGTACAGTAGCCTTCATAAAGCTGATAATGCGAAATATAAATTTATTCTTTTATAAATCATTAGTGGTCTGTCTGACCAGTGATCGTGGAATAACAATTGCTTATTTCTTTTTTGTCATCTCTAACAAAATTAGTTTATTATGAAAAAAAGTTTATTATGAAAAAAATTAGTTTATTATGTACTCAGTTGTTGCAAACAATTAATTAATGCAAACAACATGTGACTTTACACTGAATAATTTCTTTAAATTATTTAATTGTACTTTAATTATTCCCATTTTTCAACTCGACCAAAAGGAGAGTACGATAATAATGAAAGAAGGAAATATTTAATGTATTATACTAATTATGCTATCAAATTAATTGTTTTATATATATCTTATATTTAGCACATTTCAGTAATTACATATATGAAATTTATTTCATTTGCAAATTATCAAATAAAATGAATATATAACATGTATTGTACCAAAATTCAAAATTTATTAATTTCATTTTGGATTTATCATCTTGACTTTAATAATATAAATTGCATTCAGTTCATTCAATGCAACGAATTTTTGTTTTAATCGAATTTCATAGAAAAAAATTTTTTTTTGAAATAAATAATTGCAACATTTTTTTAAATCGGTTATGTCACAGAGGCTAATTGATGCACCATGCCATAAATCTTTCTATTGTCATTTTTTATTTTAACTAATATTTTGTTGTTGGTAGTACTTTGCGTGAAATGGTCTAAGAATTGCAATTGTTTCATTTATAATTAAAGAGTTTAAAAGACTGATTTATACAATATATAAGTATTGAATTTAAGTTAACTAAAAATTTGTACGAAGAAATTCAAATTTAAAATGAAGCAAATGAGATAATAATCACCGCTTTTTCACCCTTTCTTTTCTATTAAATTATTTTAAGTGTTATGAGACGGTCTCTCCAAAATTTATTTCATTAAATGAAATGAAGATGTGTTCAGCTTAGAATAAGAGAAGAAAAATGGAATTTTATTTTTGTATTCTCACTTTTGTCATCAGATATGTAACTGCTTTCAAAAAATCATTGATTTTTTAAAATATTTGAGAATTGATAACAGTGAAAGTAGCAGTGTGCATTCTCCTGATAAAATGATAACTTCGGATGTGCTATCAATGCTATTATTATGATCACGTTATTGTTTCATTCAACGTATGCTATGAAACATAAGCAAATTGCGAACAAATTATTTGAAAGTATACTACGAGAAGCACCTTGAGTTATTGTTACTGTGGTCAACATTGAAACCATCAAGTGTGTTGTCGAAGATTTAGTGGTTGTTAAATGGGCTCAAATGCAAATTTATTTTATTTTACAAAATTCTACTTTCCAGCCGAAATTTCTTTATAGTAATTCGATTTTGTGTAATTAATACTTTGCATGAAATAAATGAAAAGATGAAAGAAATGAATACATGAAAGAATTATATTTCTCAACCTCATCATTTAGTATCAAGATTTCAATAACTAATATTATTGATTTCCTCTTCTTATCTTCTCCTTCCGTTAAATATTTGATACTTACCGGTAGTATAATACTTTACGAATATTGGCGGTGGAATTTTATGTACTGGAAGCGGACCAGAATTTTAACGTGTTTCAGATAAAAATCTTAAAAAGAGCAATAAAATAATGATTTATGCATAACAGTCAGTTATGCATAAATCATTCATAATTTTTCATTTTCACTAATCTTAAGCTATTTTTATTTTTAATTTCGACTTTTGAGACAATAGTCCGGCAAAAATTTCAATTTTAATTCTTTACACAAAGTTTTATTTTGAGCTATGGAAATGGATCAAAACGATAAAAAAAACCTTTGATTTAATCCTCGGAAAGGAAAGAAAGTGAAAGGCTTTTCATATCACATGATTTTATCATCAGAAAGGCAAATTCAATAAAGCTGTGAAATATACGGTTGATAGCAGCAACATAACCAATAATAGCTTTACTGAATTCAGCTATAAGAATGGCAATATATCGGTCATCCAATTCCTGATCGAACACGATAGATACCAGGGTTAAGCCTGCGAATGTATAAGAAGAGACTAAAATCGGGTGACAAATCATCCACTGCTTCAAAATAAGAATATTCAAAACCTTCCATTGTTGTTTCCCTTCCGTAGTCGTCTGCTAAAACCTGAAATCTTAAAAACAGTCTATACTTGGATGTATGCTGTCAACCTGTAATTGAATGATTATCTGAAAAGATTCTGCAAGTGAAATATTTGTTAAAAAGATAGAAACTAAATTGGAAGAAGTAAAAACTAGTTAAGAAGTGCAAAGTATACATAGCGAGTAACTTGCGAACCTTCTGGTACCACTACTGAAGAGTCACCATTGTCCTATTGAGAATATGCGGGAATCTCATGAATAAATGTTCTTTCATTCCCTCCATAATGCACTATATTCATGGTTGTTGTTCTCAAACATCAACTTTAAGAGACAATCCAACTTTGGTTTAACCAATGTACTTCACAAAAAGATTAGAATTTTAAGATAGTAATATTAAGACCAAATGCATTACTTCCTATTAGTTTTCTTCTTGATTGAAACTTTCAAATATTACCCAGTTTATAATTCTTCATATTTCATTCTGACTGAAAAGCTTTCATAATTCAGATCGAATTAAAATTCTACATTTTCTTGCTTAATTAATGCTCAAATATTATTCCTTAACAATGCATATATTTATTTTTTTACAGCATTTTTAATGATTTTTTTTCGATTGTTTTGTCAGTAATGGTGAATGTGCCTTTTGATCTAAATGATTCGCAGAATGATCTCGAATTGATGAAAGCACAAAAATGATCTAAATATGTTATTAATGTTACCTCTTTATTTTTGCTAGATATTTTTGAATGCAATTTCGAATTTGTAGTAATTGCCAACAAATCCTTTGGCTATCACTAAGTACAAAACTATTCTGATTGATTATCTATCTATTCCGTGTTATCTATTTTCGTCAATGACACTATCATCTTTTGCTAAAACATAGAAATAAGAGAGAACGAAATTGCTTTCGAAAATGCAAAAGATATCTTTAGCAATGATCAGCTTAGTTTTGAAAATTATTCCACTGTAATCCGATATACTTAAAAAGTTCTACAGTCTCACTGTTATTATTATTATTATCAATACCACATGATTAGTATTATGTATTTTATAACCAATTTATAAAATTGTAAAAAAAAAATAAATGAAATAAAAAATAAAAAAAATAATTCAATGGTTGAATCAAATCTTGCTACCATCGATTATTTTGTATAATAATGAATTTTTGATAGTTGAAAGCTGCAAATGCGACTAATCTTAATAGAAAAAAAAATTTTTTTTTAGAATCATAAGTAAATAAACTTTACAACATTTTGTAAATTTCAAAAAATAGCATTTAATATTAGCAAATAAAATTGCATGAAAGTCCCAATATATCGCGACAAACGCTAGAAAGTTTTAAATGAAATTAAGCTGTTACTGTTTCAATCACACGACAAAAAATTGTAATGCATACAAGTGAGAAGTGGAATAATTGTTTAATAAGTAAGAAATTTTTCAGTTGACTTAAGTATTGCTAAAAAATAGTAATGCAATTTTACGTTATACAATGAAAGAAGTAAAATGCAAAAGTCTGTGAGCTGGAAAAGAATTAAACTTAACAGAAAGTAAACATAAATTTAAGCTTCAAAGGTAAAATGAGTGATAATAATTTAATCTTCGAAAACAACAAAAGTGTTTGTAGGAATAAAATTACAAATTACAAACAAAATATTTTATACAAATTTAGCTATTTTTAAACTACAAACGTTTGTATTAAATTCTTAATAACACAAAGCGTATTTTAAAAAGTAATATTAAGTACAATATTAGCTAGGCGTAGTTAAATAGTTAAGCGTAATTAAGCTTAGAATATATTTTCCTTCTTTCAAACAAAAGTAAAGCAATAAACAAATGTTTCATAATATTTTCTTTTTCATTCTTAGTAATTTATCATACCTATACGTTGATCCTTTTAGTAACTTATCATACCTATACGTTGATCCTTTTAGTAACAAGTATTAAATAGATGATCAAGTATTAAATACATATTTGTAATATTGTGATGAATAACTTTTAAGTAATAAACTAATCCAATTAAAATTTTAATTATTTTTTTTAAACATAGCACTCATGGCGCAATAAATCTTTTTTCACCAATTTTTTACACAATGATATTATCCGATTAAATCTTTTATTTGTGATTAATGAAATAATTTTATTGTTTCCTAACAATCTTTTAATTTTAAAAAAAAAAAAAAAACTTATTGAAGCGATAAATTTTAATTTCAAGAAAAATGGATGGTATTCATTCATGGTAGTGGATTTTTGATCGATTCTGCAACTCGATATGGTGACATCAGCATTTGCAAGTATTTTTTATCTTTATTAAAACTATAAACTACAGAAAAATAAAGAAACTATACGCTGAAGGAATTCGATTAAAATTTAAATTTGATTATTTCAAATTTTAAACTCTGTATTGGAATATGTAAAACATTATTTGTTCAAAAAAAGCGACCTATTCGACGATTTTTAGCAGTCTGTGTCATCGTAATGTTATCGTTGTAACGATACAGTCTACCGGTGATGAAACATGTCCAGGTAACAATGGCCTTTGGGATCAAGCAATGGCATTGCAATGGATAAAAGCTACGCGTTCAAAACCTGAATAACTAATTTAATCGTGTCAAAAATTATGCAAACAAAGTGTGGGAAAAGATTTTCGAGATTCAGAACAATTTTGCTTATTTATATGTTTCATTCAAGAAGGAATTTGGCCAATGATTCGATAAATTCATTTTAAGATGACAAAGAGAAAAATTTCATCTGTTGCCGTTTGTTGCATGCAAGGAAGTACCAACTTAGTGATTTTAATGATGAAATGAATTCTAAATAATCAACTGTTATTGTCATGAAATTATCAGTGCATTTGACGGTGATCCGGAACGCATTATGATGTTTGGTCAAAGTGCCGCTGATCTCTTATCATTGTCACCAAAATCATGAAGTAATTTCTTGGTTAAAATTGAAATTTATTTTATACAGCTTAAATTATTCACTTAAATAATCTCTTTAACCACATTATTTGTGAGAAAAAAAAATTTTTCCATCTTTTTTTTCACAAAAAAAAATTATTAAGATGAATTGAAAATTTAAAAATTTTTAGTTTGTATGCAATTTTTCATAGATTTATTTCAACAAGTAATAGCAAGGAACGGTAATATGCAATGTGCCTGGGCAGTTACGGAAACGGGACGAGTTGTCAACGTATACAAACGGTTTGCTGAAAAAGTTGGGTAGAAAAAAAAAGTGGAAAAGGTTTATTCAAAATAAGTTATCAATTTTTCGGAATAAATTATAATAATGAAATTTAGACAAATTTCCCAGTTAATAAATCTTCTTAATTAAAAAATTTGTCACCTAGACTTTGTAAATGAAAAGATCTTTCACTAAAAGTTTCGAATTACAGTGTTCAGAGTTATACAAACACGCAAAACTATTGCTTATACAAATATTAATTATCATCATTAAAGATGTTTTAAAGACATAGCAGAATAATTATTATTCAAAATTATAAGATTTTTTAAAAATGATTATTATCATTTTTTCTAATAATTCGAATCCATCTCATTTGTGTTACTTACTGATATCAAAGGTCAAATAAATATAAATGAATTAAAATATTTGCAAAACGATTACTATACTTCTCGATTGTTTTGCATATTCCTGATATGCTTAATTATGCTTAAATTAATAACTGTTGTTAATTGATTTAAAAACAAAATCTTTTGCAGATCGAGAATATCATGATGAAATGTTGAATTATTTGCGAACTTTACCATCAAAAGCATTTGAGCGTCGCTTTTTTGGTCGTAATTTGATAAATGCAAGTTGAATAGGTATCATATTATCATTTGTAATTGGTGGTGATATTTTGCCAAAGTCAATCAAAGAATTAGGAAAAGAAGCACCGATCAAGAACTGTATGACTGGAATATGTAAATATGAAATTTGATCTTTGGTTAGTTAACTGCCATTTTGAAAATTTAAAGTATAACTGATTAGCACCAGCAGAATTTTAATATTACATTAATATTATATTAAATTTCTTAACTTGGCTGGAAACTCAGAAAACTAAATCTAATTTTTTTAAAACTGTAATATCCAGCTTGTTTACTGTACTTTTGTCACTTTTCAAACAAATTTTTTGAAATAATGTTTGACGAATTATTTTGACAATTTTGTAAAATTTGGTTTTAATAAAAGATTAATAAAAAACTAATTAGTTCGGATTTTGATTAATATTTCTTTTCTGTTTAGCTAGCAATTCTATTGTAATTTTCACTTATTTTTTTTACTTTCATTAATGATAGACTTTACTTTACCATCGCCTTCATCTTCCTTTTTCTTGATATTTTTTATTTCAGCTATAACTTCATTATCGTTATTTACGTCAAGTGATATGGCCAAAGCTTATGATAATTATGAGGAATTACGAAAGATGACGAAGAATCTTTATCTGAATAATACTGATATTAACAATAAATTATCTGTTGTATATGAATGTGAACAGGTTAATTATCATTGTTATTTCCGAAATTTTTTTTTTTTTTGTTGCTTGATAAGTTAGTGCACACTAAATAGTTAGTGGTAAAATTATTTAGTCAATTAAATTTAGTTATTTAGTAAGTTGTAATATGTTCTTTTCCTTTTTGAGCTAACAGTAGTCACTGGCAAATTTTATTGTTAGAATTCTGAAAATTTCAAAAAGAACATTCAGAAATGCTAATGAAAAATAATATTTCAGCTTTCTAGCAACTTATTTGTAACTAATGCCACCGCTGAATATGCCGAGAAAATGATGACACTGGGTCACACAATTTACTTTTATTCATTTGATTATTTCAATCCGAAAAGTTATAGCATACTTTCATTTATAGTACCATTTAAAGATAAGATAAATCAGACTTATTTCTTCTTTCTTAAATTTTGTTAACTTTTGTTAAGTGTGCGAGACATAAAAAAAAAGGTACCGTGCAGCACTGATTCATTTATTAGTTGACAATTAGATAATTAAACAAACTGCATTACATTTATAATAAAGGCTGTTGTCGTGGAAGATTTGATAGTTTAATTATTAATTTTGGGAGAAGTTTTGATCGCAGGCAGATTCGTTGTATGTAGGTGTGAATACGTGCGGTAACAAAGAAATACAACAATTCCTTTATGAGCAGAATAGGACAATACGTTGATAGAGAACAACTGAAAGTGAACTCGTCTGGTTCTTGGTAATAAATTACACACACACACACACACACACACACACACACACACACACACACACACACACACACACACACACACACACACACACACACACACACACATACATACATACACACACATACATACATACATACATACACACACACACACATACACACACACACACATACACACACACACACACACACACACACCAATCTTTCAACAAGGGTGACCCTTATATAGCAATTATCTCTTACATCATGTGTATTAACATGTGGGAGTGGTTTATAATTAGAAATTCTTATACAAAGGATAAATTGTCTAGACATGATAATGAGTTACTTTAAAGTAGGTTACAATGGATCACAAAGGAAAGTACAATGCGAGACATTGTGTCTAGACATTGTGATGGGTGGCTACTATAATGAGTTGCAATAAACATTACATGATAGATGATTATAGTATGTAAATTGATAAAAAAAAAAAGATCAAAAGTCAGTTAAACCATTACGATGAATTGTAAAAAAAATCAATGGATTGCTATGCTAAACATTATTAACACTTATTTAGTGCTTCGCGATATTAAAATCCGCGACAGTTGTCTCAAATCTTGAAAACAATTATCAGATAATGTAAATAGTACAGAAACACTATCAGTTTACTTTGGATTTTTTAACTTTAAAATCAATTTTATTATATTTATTGGAGTAAAAAGTGACTAGTAAGTAGATTTCTCATTTTAGGAAAGTAATTTTTCAGTTTTCTCTCACAGTTTCATTCAATTTGAATGTTATTTCAAGTAAATTATTTAATGCATTTAACCATTTAGGTGCAACACATCGTACAGGATTAAATTATATCTTTGGCGCAAATATAACATGTTTCCAATACCATTTACGTATACGAAAATCTATGAATATGTAAGAAATTTGATATCAGAATTATGGACAAACTTCCCCAAATTCGAGTTTGCTTCATTTGATTGCAATACAGAAATTTCATGATAACTCTCATTTTTTTTTTCAAAAATTTACTTAGTTCTGTGGATGCTATTTTAAACATAACACCATTAGTGATAATTTAAGAGAATTATCAGTTGTTGATCTAATCTCACACATTATAAAATTTTAATTACTTCTGCAGCTGTATAAGTGATAACTGAAGTAAGCTGTCATTTTGTAGTACAATTATGTTAATGTTATTTCAAGTAAATTATTTAATGCATTTAATCAGAAGAAATCCAATTTATTTCATCTTTTTCCAAATCAAGAAGAAAATAAAAAACTATCTTAATGTTAAGAAATCCTAATGTTGCAAATATGTTAACATTAAAAGGTTTCAAATGGTTGCCAGAGGTGCAAAAACCTGCTTGTTATCCCAGTATTGGTACCGATGCTTTCCAGATGAAAGAAGGATTATTACTATCATCAAATAAAGTTTTAGCAGAATTTTCGAAATGAGAATGCAATCAAATTGAAAGTGAAGCATACAGAACACAAGTAATGAGAGTATTTGTGTGACTAGCTAAAAATATTTCAATTAATTTAAACATGCAATAAATTTCCTAATCAATTCAGTTGAGTCATGAGTAAATTTAAAATGTATTACATTAATAAAGAAAGATAATTTATGTTAAAACATAGAAGGTATAACTATAAAATTAAAAATAATTGTTTGTTTCAAACATATCATTTTTATAACGTTTATTTTAGTAGTTTAAATTTTGCAAAATTGCACAGCGATATATCAATTATTAAGAAGATAGACTGATGTTGCACGATAAGCAGGACCACCACCATGAATAACGCCACCGCCACCGTCACTCGTGCTACCACCACCTGGACTATCAGGACGACCGCCTCGGTCTGAAATATTGCTGCAATCCTGTAGGGAAAAAAGAAATTGTGCATAATTTAAATAATATGATATGATAGATAAAATGAGTAGTACATATATTAAAAAAAATATTTTAAAAGTTTTTTTTTTTTCCCATAATTTTATTATATTATTTATTTACAGAATTTTCATTTTATAATGTCTTAAAAAATTAAACAATTATGCATTTTTTATTTAAATCACTTATCGAATTGTTTCGAATAGTCAAAAAAAGAATAAGTTAATGATATCAATGTTGAAAATAGCATAAGCAATTTAATTACATTTAATTAGGAAGAAATAAGAAACCCTGCTACGACACCTGGACTAATACCAGATGAAACTTTTTAAACATTTGAATAACTTGTGAAAATTTTCTATAGAATTATATTTCAACATGTTTTCCTACAAATAAATCATTGAAAGTTTTGAATAAATTTTGAAAATATTTTGCATAATTTAAAGTTTCCAATTATCATTTGAAATAAATATGTACCAAGTTGATCAGCAGTATTTCCAAATGCAAAGCTCGTATCTTTAGCTTTACTGGAACCACGACTGGGAGCACTCATATATGCACTGGTTAAAGCACCAGGACTAGCACCTGCGAAATACAGTGAAAATTCCTTTAATCCACCACCAGCAACCGCAGTACCTTCATCACTTTCTTTCGCTCCTATCGTATGTCCACCTCCAGCTAACATTGATGACAAGTACTGCTCAACTTCAGCACCTGCACCGGTTTGACTTATTGCACCAACACTAATTGTACTTTTGGCATCACGGACAGCGCTAGCATCGCTCAGTACAGAAATTTTAGTATCATGAGTACCACCACCACCAGCACTTACAGAAACAGGACTTTTAATGGCACTAGGAACACCAGCAGCAGAACCTGTAATTCTGCTAACACCGGTAGCGGTTGAAATCTTAGCGTTACCAGTACCGCTAGCAACAGAATTTGGTCCACGGCTCATATTGGTAGCAGTAGAAATTTTAGTACCGCCAGCACCGCTAACAACGGGACGACTAACACCGGTAGCAGTTTTTGCACCATCAGAGATAATAGTACCACCAATACTGGTACCACTACGACTCTTCCCAATAGCAGCAGAAGCAGCGGTATGTGCGGCTGATATTGCTTCAGCACCACTTGTTGTTGACGTACCTGATGTAATCGTATTTGCTGCAAAAAAAAAAAAAAAATCATTTTATTATTGATTAATTGCTTGTTCTTAAAAAAAAAATTTCAACTTTTTTTTAATCCTTTTTAAAAAGCCACATCAATTATCTTTACCTAATTTCATCACAGTTGAAAGAAGTGATTCACGAAGAAAAGTAATTTCTTTCATCATTTGTTTAATAATTTCTTCCAAACGTTTATTTTCATTGGTTACCAATTCCAGAACCGCTTTTAATTCATCATTAGTCTTCTGCACTTCACCAACTTTTAAACCCTTCCATAAATTTGGTATGACCACTTGAATAGGAGCTAAATATAAAATCAAATACGAAATAACTGCTATTAGTGATATGAATAGAAAGTAAAATTTTATTATAAAATTTTCATTGTTTTTTTTTAATTTTTCCGTCAATCTCTTGAATAAAAAAGTGTGATTTCAAATTTCATTTATGAAATTGAATTATGATAGCATCTGATCAATTCGTGGTAAATATAATTCTAGTTTAAGATTTTTTATCATCATCTGATTTTATATTTCAGTTTAAAGTAATCCATGTGTATAATTTTAAAATTCATAATAAATGCATATTTATCATTTAGTGCGAAATTAATTTATGAATGGTATAAAGTAACTCAATTTTTCCTAAGTCATCTCAAAAAAAAAAAAATCGATTTTTGTGTTTTTAAAACACAAGAAAGCAAACATAGCTTCAAAGAAAATTGTATTTTTTTTACTATGAAATGGAAAGAAAACTTTTTTACCTCCACTTTCTTTGCTTTTCTTATCTGAAAATTATTTTTTCAAATAAGCAATATATAAAATAGAGAAGGAAATTTAAAAAAAAAGAAAGGATTGCTCATTTCATCATGATTTTTATTTTATAAATCAATAGCATAAACAAGCTCTCGTTAATTAATATATTAACTAAGAAATATTTGAATAATTTTAAGTAGTTCCAAAATATTATTTCGATTAGTGAATATTCTTGGAAAAAATGACCATAAACAACAAGATGGAAATGATTAATCCAAAACATAATTAATTCAGTGATAATCTTAACTTCATTCATTTCTTACTTGTTTCTTAAAAATTATTTAAAAGAAAGAAAAAAAAACTGTGTGTCTTTTGAGAAACTTTATGCTGATTTATTTAAATTAGGAAATAATGCAATGGTAATTCAATAACTGCTGCAAAAATTCAATATTATACGAAATAAAAAACTGCTATTTCAAATAAATCAAATAAATTTTAAGATTAATTCATCTTAAAATAATCAGTGATAAAAGGTGATAAGTTAATTAACAAAAGAAAAAAATCTTGCCATCTTCATCAGTTGTAGTAAGACTTTCATCTTTTTCTTCTTTCTTTTCAACTTTTCCCTTCCCTTCTTTAGCTTTCAATATTTCGTGTTCAGTTGACAATATGCTCTCTTTATTCTTGTACAAATCATTAATTTCTGTTTCCAATTTAAGATCATCGTAACCTGGCTAGAAATTTTATTCTATTAATTAATTAACATTATATAATCATTTACAATAATAAAAGGCGAGCAAATACATAACTTTTATAAACATTTTAATGAAATTATTTTAATTAGATTAAAGTAAGTTGTAAGTCTTCCGTCAATTTAATCAGCTGTAATAATTGCCTACTTTGAATGCATTAATTTAAAAAATTTTAATTGCTAATTGTGTTAATACGTGGAAAATTTCCAATTTTCTCCCTATGATTAGATTATTAATGATTTATTAATTGGAAAATAATTTACTTGCTAAAATTTGATTGCACTTATTTTACTTAAAATCAACTTTAGTTTGCTTAAACAAAAAAAAAAAAAAGAACTTCTGAATGGATTGAAATATTTCTTTTATTCACTAGCTTATTTATTCACTTTATAATCCAAAAAATTATTTAAAGATTTAATTTATTCAAAACCTTTACTTACTGTTGGAACAAACTTTTGTCCTGCCTTTGTTACCAATTTACCCATAACCTTTGGTACTTTATCTGGTATTCTCCTATCGCTATATGCTATAGGAAAGAAAAACTTTTTTTTTTTTCTGTGCAATCTAAATGCTTTGAAACATTTCTTCTCTTCAATGAATTTAATTATCCATTTCTTGCAAAAATCAAATTAAAAAATTTTTCAAAATCTAAATTTGTATAAATGTCAACTTAAATTATAATTTTACTCCAAAATATTTCAAAAGTCAATTAAATTTCCATTGTCTCTTTAAATCAAAAAAAAAAAATTTTTTTAAGCTATATTTTATTCCTAATTTTAAACCAAAAAGTTTTAAACTATTATTACATTATAGGCAAAAATTGGAAAATTTAAGTTCATTTGAGAGCAATTATTTATACCTCTTACACGTATATCCAGTACACCTACGTCAGCTCCTTCAACAAATGGTTTCCTTGGATCATAACCTTCTGGTGATGCTATATACTCTACCACTAATTTCGTTTTTCCTGGTTTTCCAGGCTGAAACAAATTGATGACAACAAGATATTTGCGAAATGACATATCAATGATGAAGTGTTTGTACAAACAATGAAAAAAAAAAAAAAAAAAAAATAAAACGAAGTGTAATGAAATCATGAAAGCAATTTATATTCAAAAAAAAAATTTTTGTTACATTATTAATTTACAATTGTTTAAATCCGTTTTTTTTTTTTTGTTATTAATAAAATATGTATTAATAACAGAATATTAACAAAACAATAAATCTATTAATCAATCGTACAATCATTTCATTATTCAACTATACAATTCACCAATCAATTATCAGTCGACCAATTAATATAATTTATTTAACTATATCAAATTACAACTGATGAAAAAAAAGTGAGATCTTGTTAATTAAATTAATTAATTTTTAATAAATTTGAAAAAAAAAAATGAAAAAAATTAAACAACTAACCAATCGTCGCAAAAAAAGTTCCTTTTTCATGCCTGGTTTTACGAAACCAAGAGGTGGCGATACCTAAATTATTTTTACTTACATTAATTACATTATCAAATTTTTTTTCCCATTAATAGAATAAAAAAATTATATGCATTCAAATTATGATACAAATTAATTCCTCAATTGTATCAATCATTATCAGCTGCTTTCATTATTTTCTACCCACTTCAAAAGAAAAATCACTTTTTTCTAAAAATTTTTCCGCAAAAAACAAATAATTTAATGAAGTGGAAATATGCTAAAATTCAATAACATGTATGCAATTTATACTATTAGAATTATAAGAAATAATTATAATGTAAAAGTATAATCAATTATAAATGTTAGCTAATATAAAGCATATTGTAATAAATGCTCCAAAACGTCTCATATTAATCTTATAGTATGATAATGATATTATTTATATAATTCCACCGTTCAATAAATTAATCAAGAAAAAATCATTAATCATTAAGTAATAAATCATTTATCAATGTTAAATTCATCAAAACACTTTACTCTGTATAAATTGTAATATTTTTGCTTTAGTTTCACTTTAAATGCTAATCGTTCGGTACCAATCGCTTCAAGGATATGTGTTGTTGTACCACCTGTGCATGGCACCTATAGTGATGATCCTTTCAAAACACTATTGTATTATGTAATTATTTCATATGAATTTTGGATTTTAATTTTTAAAATACACTTAAGGACTAATATGCAATTCTTTGTTGTTTATTAGCTCATATATTTGGCTTCCACTTTTTTGAAACTTTTTGCTCACCTTTCATTAAGATTTAAACAAAATATTAGTTGTAGTTTGGAATTTGAACAAAACAAATAAAGGATAAAGTAGATGCAAATATAATTTTAGAAACACACTTCCAGAAATTTTAATCGCCGAGTAATTGAGTACAAAATTAATTCAATAAATATATCTGCAAACCTGTATCATTGCTGGTGTACATTGCAAGTATGACATAATCTGTACAACGTATCAGTTACAACCGTTTAATTATGTGAAAATAAAGAATGATTAAAATATCGAGAAACTTGATAGTTTTAAACTGTTAAATTGAAATGCTTAACAGAATGCGAATTTTATAAAATATGCAACATTTACAAATTCATGTCATCCTTATCTTCTGATTGAAGTATTAACAGCAGATATCCAATACTATAAACGATTAAATTTTTATAAATTACACGTTTGATCGAATTCAATCATTCAGATTCATTTATTATTCGAATCAAATTGCTTCATTAGAAAAAAAAAAGAAAGAAAAACGAAATAATTGTCTAGATTTAAAATACTGTGTATATAATTGGTCAATATTTATAAAAAGTGCTTCATTCTTTTCTTCCTTTTTAAATAAAATTTCGATACTTTTAAAATTTTGTGGAATTAAAGATATGAATGTCCTATTTCACAGATGAAGGAAATAGTAAAGTGCAATAACAAGTTAATCAATGTTTCATAAACACACGCTGCCGAAAAGTCATATTTTCGTAGCAGTCCTTTTCAACATACGTCTTCTCATCGTTCTTTACCATTCTTAATTTCTCGTATACAAGCAATCTTCTACAAAATTCACTGATAGATTATTTTGCTGCCTAGATATTTAGGTATTAAAAAACACTTTGAAATCAAAATCAGAAAAGATAAAAAATCCTGCCATAACATAAAATATTGCTTGTCAACCAATTTACTAAAAATAGAGATACGTTATAGTCAAACTTCCATATACTGATAGTCAAAAGCATTGAAAATCACTATATTAAAGTTTGAATAATGATAAAAATAATTTTTCCACAATGATAAAAGAAATCTTTATCTTTCTTAAATCTGAATCATATGGAATTATAATTAAAAACAAGTTTTAAATAAATCACCTGGAATACCTGCGTGACAATGACTGCTCACAGTTATAAATCAATTTCATCGCATCATGTTTTGGTAAAATTGCTTCGGAATATCTAAAAATTAGCAAAATTTTAAAGATTTTTGCTCATTCAATACGTGAAACAATGCTTCTTAATCTCAGTATTATCGAACAATGACACTACTCAACACAGGATCAATATTACACAGAAAGCTCGTAGAAATTTTTAGGTTATTATCATTGATGACTAAACTGCTAAACTACTAAACTGTTTTCTGATAAAACATTACCTTTTTTTTTAATTTCCAATTGCTTAATTTTTCATGATACATTTAGAATTGCTTTAAGTTTCTGACACATATTGTCATCCTTTTATACATAAGTCAGAGCAAGATTTCTTAATCAAGTTTGGTACAAGATATGATTATAAATTAAATGTGAAGAAAACAAAAGTTGAGTTCATTAAAATTTTCTATCTTATATGTTGCAGAAAACCTTAATTAATCTGACACGATAACATCCGCTTAAGCTGTCTAATTAACTGATATTTTAAAAAGGTAATGGATAAGAATGGAATATTCCAATAAGTAAGTGCATCACTATCAATCACATTACGTGAATATTTCAGCTGTTGCAACATTATGTGAAAAAAAAAGGCCTAAGGATTCGCAGTGACCAAAAGTACAAATTTTGAATAAAGCTGAATATACATGCCAGGAACCAGTAATGATCTTGATGACAGCTATTGTTTGATAAATGACAGTAGTTGCAAAGCTTCATATTTCATTCCTACATTTTTATATAGTACAATTTCTGCTTTAGAACAATTAAACGATTGCTTCTCTCTCAACTATTTATAATAATAGAGAATGCATGAATTAAGCAGAGAAATTACCAATGAAAAAAAAAAAAAAATGAAAATATTCTAAATCAAACATTTAAAATAAATCTCATATAATTTAAATATTACTTTTATAGATTATTACTGTGATTTGTATGAGTTATTAAATCGATATATTCGCTATTCAAAAACTTTCACTGCATTATGTTGCTCATTCCTTTTTTTATTTGTCTAGATAATTCTATTTGTTTAAAGTTCATAGCAGATGGAGCATCATACAAATTTTGTTTAATCTTCAACGAATACCCAGCAAAAAAAAAAGAACGGCTACGAATAGATGAAAAGGAAAACGAGGATAGAACAATTATTTTAAGCTATTTCTATCACTCTCTCAACATCACGCATCATCCAAAATGATCCAAACAAAAGAAGATGAAAAAGATAATTGGCAGTAGTGTATTTCATTTTTCATCACTGACGTAAACATTTTCCATGTATTATTTCAATCTGTAAGTTCTGTAATTTCTAGTTTCTTCCATTAATTAAATATTTTAATTATACAGTTTAATCTTGATAGCTTTTTCTGCCAAATTTCATTGATGTTCTTTGAAATCAATATAAAACCCTACGAGACGGACATATGTTAACGGTTAATTCAACTTATTCGTTAGATATTAAAAATCAACTCCTGTTATTTTCATTATTATATAAATACAAGGTATACAAATACCATATTATTCAAAATTTTTTGAAAAATGATCAAAATCTTCCAGTAATAATTTCTTGTCATTCTTTTAGAGTTGGTTACTTTCCAGAAATCATATTTATTACATGCATTCTTGTATCAATTCATGCGTCTATCGGTAAATTTTATATTATATTCTAACTATACAATAATCATAATCATAACGTAATTAAGATAACTTTATAATAAATATAACCGAAAATGTATGATCTTAAGTAAACAGTAGTGAGAAAACAAACGAAACAGAAAGATTGATTCCCCTTTTTTTGTGCCTGCTTATTTTCCTAGTGTTAAAAAAGAAAATGAAAATCATTACATAAAAGAGAGCAAAACATTTACAGATGCGTGCTACGACACCTTAAGAATACGAAGTGCGCCCGAAACTTGTATCCATTCCACAGACTGTTATGATTCCAATGCTGAATGCATATACAGTGTAGCAGAATCTCGTCACATTTGTTGTAAGCCGAGACCTAATATCATCCTTCCCGGTAAATTATTAGTGAAACAAATCAATTCTATTTTTCTTCAATGTTTGGATTATTAAGTTTCAACCATATGCTGAATCACTATATCGTTTAAATGTTACAAACTAAAATATACGAAAAAAAAAAATGTTCCTTTAAAGTTTATTTGTATTTGAAGAATGCCCCGCAGGACGACAAATGCCAACAGTGGGAAAATATATGCCTATATTATGTTCGTTGACAAATTCAGTGGAAGATGATATGTGTCCACAGGGTTACGAATGCTTACCTTCAGCTAATACAAATAACGGTGAACTACATATTTGCTGTGCAATTTGAATTGTATTATTATTACACTCAAATTAAAATTGTTGTAAAAGGTCACTTTAATATTACTGTCACTATTTCCCAATAATACTACTTCACTATTTTCTTGCCAATAAATTGATTGATAACTTATCAGATGCTTCAGATCGAAGTTTTAGGACTCAAAATCAAACTTAAAAGTGAAACAAATTTTGGTAGACAAACAGCAGAAAAGTAGATAGAGAAGAGATTCAAACATGTAAAAAAGAATGAGAAGAGATGGAAAAGCGATCAAAATCAATATCACGTCCAGTTTTTATGACTAAAGAAGAAATAAATTTCGTAAACCACAAACTGAATAGTTCTTCACCACACAGATTCAAAGTTTGATCCAGTAATTAATGAGGTAGTGTATGTTTTTATTTATCTCAGCATTATTATAAATGTTCATTATATATGTAAAAATTTTACGATCCTGTCAATCTATATTTCTCCTTTGCTACCTAACAATAGCAAAAGTATTTATATGACTTTCATTTTTGCATTTTTTGAATGAATCTCTTTATCGATATTATTACTGTTACTTAGAAAAAAATAAGGTTTAGCAACTCCTAAAGTTTAGCAACTATATTACTTCTACCAAAAAGAAGTTCATATTAATAAATTGACTTAAAAATTTGAATATGATCCCGTTGATCCATCTGTAGTAGGATAGACAGCAACTAAAGATTTGGAAAAAAAAATTAATATTCATATAGATTATAATTGACTTTATATATGATTTTAACAGAAAATTTCTTAATAAATTTCTTTAATAATAATAAAACAACTAACTCATCATCGAACACTGGAAACCAAAATAACAAACGCCCACCAACAACAAGCAATCTACTAGCAAGATCGATGAGATCAAGGAATGCCAAAGAAATGGAATATTTCGCCTTTTCAGGATAATGATTTGCACTGAAAAAATAATAAACAATAAAAGCCAATTTGCATAGCAAAGTTATTTTGGAAAAAATTACATTATTTCTCCTTTTTTTTCTCTTTCTAAGTTTACCTCTCCAAACAAAAAATTAAATAAAAAGTGGGATCAGCAAAACAAATAATAAAATTTACTGCTGAGCATCTTTGACTATCCACGATTCCTTTTTTCCTTTGATGCTCACTTTTTGTCCTTTTTCTCTAATTCCGTAGGGTGCTAGAAAAAAAAAAAGTTATAGAATCTCTAGTTAATAAAACCTCAAACATGTATCCTTGTGGTCACTAATAATCAGTGCATAGAATTAAAATAAATAAAACAGAACTGACTCTAGTTCAGCTGTTGCTCTATTCGTCATCTACAACAAATATTCAGAGAAAGCTGAATGAAGTATTTACACCTTACACAGAAAGAGGAAGAGAGAAAAAAAAGAAATCCAAATCTTTTCAAACCCTTTTCTTTGAAGAGAATGCATACTTACGGTCGGTGATTACTGCATCAAAAACAGGAAAGGTGCCAGAATGTGTGCCTGGATGCCATAGTTGATGTTGGCTAGCATCTGCTATTATCAAACCCATGAAATAAAAATCTAATCCATATTGTCGAAAATTTGCAGCAACTGATTCTTTTGCTGTATTGCACTCGACACCAGCACGTGACGATTTACCTGGAAAATAACGATGATTTTTAAATAATGAAAGTAGTACTAGCTTCCTCATATTATCCCTTAATTATGCAAATTAAAAGTTGATGATTGA